AAACCAAAATGAAACACACATTGATTTTGTTAATTTTGGTTTTAGATACTCAGTTAAAATTTTATATATTACTAAATAAAATAAGTTTGAGGAAGTAATTTGGTTTCAAATTTATTCTCATATTTTTGCCATTGGAAGTGTAAGATGGAGATAACAGGAAATATTTTTATTAGGCCAGATGATTAGATTGAAAAAGGCAGAAAGCATTTGGACACAACCTGTTCATAATTATTTTTATATCACTATAGGTAAAGAGTATTGACATTATTATAATATTTCCAGACCTAGACACAGAATGGTAGAAATATGAAGAAGAAAGGCCTGAAAGCTCCAAGACATTCACATAGAAAGACTAACATACAAAATGAAAAGTAATTAGTTTAAGAGATTTAAGATGTTTGTAAGTATGTATAGATTAAATGGATAGATAGATAGATAGATAGATATATAGATAGATAGATGGATAGATAGATAGATAGATAGATAGATAGATAGATATTGACACACACAACGCAGCAACTCCAGGATTTGACTGTAAGGATCAAGTTACCCCTGATACAGAGCAAGTGATGTAACCTGAATAATGTATTTTCATTAGAATCAAAACACCAGCTCTTATCATCAAATAAAAACACCAGCTCTTATCATCAAATACTTTCAAATCCAGGTATTTCAAAGAATACCAATATAAGCAAATGGCAAATTCCTTAGTAATAGTAAATTCCTTAGGATGATTTGAGACTGTTTTTCTTTCTTTCCCTGTTTCTATCTGCTGAGTTAGGAGTTCTACAGCCTGAAAATTTCATGTCCATTTGCTGCAGACATTCTGCTTCATTACTCCTTCCATTCCTTTTACCTTCCTCCAAATTGCCCACTTTATTTTCTCTGTGTCTCATGTCTCCCTTTATATCTTTACTCCTTCAGAAATATCAATTTCATATAGTAGGTACAAGCAGTAGAGGTGAGTTATATAATCTTCTCTAGAAGAGACTTAGATACTGTGGTGTTGAAGTTACTAATATGGAATAGAACAAAAAACATAGTATAGTAAGGTTGTTTATAATTAAACTACAGATACTTTATCACACTGTCATTTTCTAGTTATCAGATAATAAAATAATTAATTATTGCAATAAATATTTTCAGTTGAATGAATAAAATCTTATTTGATTTTAAACAGTTCCCCCTAAATATCCCATTTCGGAACTTTTCATTTTTTAAGCATTTGATTTTTACCAACTGAAATATCTTCTTAACTGAGATTACATTGAAAGGTTTTTCACTAAATATGGCTTCCAATCATAAATTTTATATCTGGATCATTTTAATTGCCTCCATGTTCTCACTGCATAAGAGTGAGGTGAAGTTAGGAATCAAAATGAGGGATATGAAGTGTGACTGCTAGACTGCAGCTCACATTTTCAAATATTCCAGTCAGGCTTTCCTGTAACACAAAGATATGCACATAGTTTTGTAAAGAACTTATATCATTCCCTCTAAAATGCATGCTTATATTGAATGTAATGTCTTCTTAAAACACTCTACCCCATCTCCTCCCTCACTGATTGGGCAAATCATCTGGACAGGTTACTCACTCTGCCCCTTAAATGATGTGTAAACCCTTTCCATTTTAAGTACACAGTGCCCCCTTGAATTCAGGAATAGGGACGGATCCTGGGCACTTTCTGTTAAGCTGTAATGCTGACTTTATCCCTACAATAGCTTCCTATATGGGCGTTTTATTTTGCATACTAATAAATGAAACAGAGTAAGAAATATTTTCTGGTGCTGGGATCAAGTGGCATGGAGCATTTCATTTCATGCATTCAGACTCTCTGCCCCTCAGTAGACTTTATTCATCTGTACCACTGTTTGGTAATGATCCCTGCAATTTTTTATCCCCAAACCATGATGAGGTTGCTTAGGAAAATGCTACTTGAACCATAGGAAAAACATATTGTAGGCCATCTCAAAAATACCTAGCCCCCAGACAAGTACTGGCTATAGTTTCTTTAATGGTATTGACATAGTCTTAAGGGCCTTCTGCTTGTGATTTTCACCTTCTATGTCAGTTTTCTCCTGTGTAATTTAAAAGCTGAAAAAAGTGAGCGCAAGGAATTAATAATTTTTATTTGAGGAGTTAAATGATCTGAATTCAGAAGAACAAACACTTATTTCAAATGACTTTTCTGGCTCCTCCCTACATGGAGACCAGGCTGAACTCAAGGGCAAAACAGACATGGGGTTGCTTCAAGTATTAAAATCATCCTTTATAGTCATTTTGTTCATCCAGGAACTTAGGAAACACATGTGCAAGAAGAAAGGACTATGTGTCCTGACACAGTTTTAGTACTAAGGGCTGAAGGAAAAGATACAAGAGGTAAGTAAGTCCAAGTTTTACACATCTTCAGTTCTTGTTCTTGATTAACTTGCTTCTGTTAATCATTCATAGTTAGCACACACTCTAGGAAAACACCAATTTCTCATCTAATAAGAATTTCATAATTTTTCTTTATGGATATCACAAGTTTTTAAGGAGGTTTAGCTTGACAATAACAATGTTAGCTTAAACATCAGGCTTTTAATTGCAGATTTCTGCAGCATGTAATCATCCATGGAAAAATAACATCTGTATGCTTACATATAATTATATGCATTTAGATCCCTTCCTGTTATTGGAAAATACATTGCAACCTCTTTCCTTGTCTACTTGCAGTGAAGTGTTCCTTTAAAAATGTAAATTTTGGAGTGGCTCATCTATTAATAAATCAGAGCATTGACATTACTGGGAGAATAAGTGACCTTGGTGTAATCTAAATGAGCCTATCATTTCAGTTACTCAATCTGCTTTTATCAGCAAACAAAATAAATAAATACAAACTGATTTCTGTTACCCTGTGTAACTATGTATCGGGCAGTATTAAGCATTATTTTGCACATTGCTGTCCATCTTTCTATTAAAAGCATAAACATAACCACAGAGCAGCTGGGCTAAATTATCAAAGGAGGATGCACAATTAATCAGGATCTTACTAGTACAGTCGAGGTCTGTAATTAAGCTTCTGTCTCCATAGACACATCTGGTCCCTGCCTCTTCAATGTGCTCTGGAATCTGATATTTACTGTTGTTTGGCAGTAATGTGTGTTGGGGAAGGTGGGGGTTGGGTTTGTGTGTACACTGGGTACTATACACCTCAGAAAGATCTGCAGGAACAAGACCTTAGTGTTAATGAACTAAATTTCAAAGGAGGACATCGTTTACCTTCTTAGGAAGGTTTAAAATTAGTCACATATTTCCCTGTATTTATCTACTTGCTTTTAAAAAAACATGGATATTGGAAAGCAATGGAGTCAATTACTGCATCACACTTGAAATAAAAGCACAGTTGTCTGTAGAACTGTTTGGCCTATTTTTTAAATTCTTTGCATTATGTAAGTATTGTGGTAACACCTACAATCTAAAAATATTTCCCATTTCTATTCTAGACTTTAGAATAAAATAGTTAGAAAGCACTGAAAATGTTTCATTCAGTGTGCCACTTATAAAGTTAAAAAATGCATGTTATAGATCATATATTAAGGATCAAAGTCGCATGATTCTAAATTCAAAGTAAACAGATTTTAAATTTTCTCTGTACTGTTCTCCTGCCTGTACGAATACAATAAAAGATGATGTCACTAACATGTAGAATCACAGAATCAGAGAATGCTTTGAGTGGGAAGCGACCTTTAGAGATTTTCCAGTCCTAACGACCTTCCCCAGGCAGAGACATTTGACACTAGATCTGGTTGCTCAAAGGCCCCTCTAACCTGACCTTGAACAAAGATGGGGCATCTACAACCTTTCTGCTCTACTTATTCCAGTGTCTCAAAACTCTTATTCTAAAAAAACCCTCTTCCTTATGTCCAATCTAAACCTATATTCTCTCAGTTTAAAGCCATTTCTCCTTGTCCTATCACTACAGATCTTTGGTAAAAAGTCTTTCTCCATCTTTCCTATTGTCTGCCTTTATATAATGAAAGGCTGCAATGAGGTCTCCCCAAAGTCTTCTCTTCTCCAGGTTAAACAACACCAACTATCTCAGCCTTTCCTCATAGGAGAGTAGTTCCATTTCTCTGATCATTTTCATGACCCTTCTCTGGACTCACTTCAACAGGTCCACATCTTTCCTTTACTGAGGAATCCAGAGCTGGATACAGTACTCCAGGTTTGGTCTCATGAGAGCAGAGTAGAAGGGGAGAATCCCCTTCCTTGACCTGATGACCATACTTCTTTCGATGCAGCTCAGAATAAGGTTGGCTTTTTGATCTGCAAGTGCACAGTGGCACCTCATGTCCAATTTTTCATCCATCAATATCCCTAAGTCCTTCTCTCTCTGGTTGCTTTTAATACTTTCATGCTTGGGATTGTCCTGACCCAGATGCAAAGACTTTTCACTTGGCCCTGTTGAACTTCAGTGGGTTTACATAGACTTATTCCTCCAGCCTATCCAGGTCCCTCTGGATGCCGTCCCATCCCTCAGGCATGTCAACCACATGGTGTCATCTGCGAACTTGCTGAGGATACACTCAATTCCACTGTCTACATCATTGATAAAGATATTAAATAGCATTGGTCCTAGTGCAGAAGCCTGAGGGAGACTTTGCCCACTTGGACATCGAGCCATTGACTGTAACTCTTTGAACACATCCATCCATCCAGTTCTTTATCCAATAGTTCACCCATCGAATCCACATCTCTCCAATAGAGAAGTAAGAATGTTGTGCAGGACCTCATCAAAGGCCTTACAGAAGTCCAGGTAGATGACATCCATAGCTTTTTCTCTGTCCATTGTTGCAGTCACTCCACCATAGAAGACTACTTGACTAGTGAGGCATACACATTCAATTAACTATAGAGTGGAAGTGAAATGAGAAGTGAGGGTACACGCAAAATCAATCAGCACTTACATTGTCATTGCAAACATGCAAACATACATGTGTAATTAAAAAGAAGCATACTTTCAGTCTTTGAAGGATATATGGGTTGTACTGAGTTAGTTCCCGTTGGATCACAGTGGCATGAGTATAAACAAGTCTCTGTAAAAGTGTCACAAATGTGAGAAAAGATAATTATTCCTGCACTGTAGATATTTGCTGCTGACAATCAGCTTTATATAAAGCCTATTGGAAACAACTGAAAAGTTCTCAGCAGTTTCAGTGGTTCTTTTATTAAGAATCATGTGAAGAGTTTGTTTAGAATATAATAAGTGGATAAATCTTTCCTTTTGCATTTAAATAAAAGAAGTTTTGTTAATTTCAGTGGATTAAAAAATCTCATCATTATGCGAGTAAACACTGTAAAATTAAAAAGCATATATATATATGCACTTATCTCTTCTTAAACTGGAGCCAGAATAAAATTTCATATTCTAAGGAAAAAACCTGAATATCTTAAAAATCCTTTCTTTTATAAAAGGGGAGAAAAAAGCTGAGCTAGGTTTCAACATTCAGAACAGACTGTCTAATAGGCAAAAGTTTGCATATTGAGGCCAGAAACACACTGCTGACTCTACACCCTTGTTACGATTCAGACAATAGCTGTCCTGTGCATGTAAAGAAGACTATATTAAAAATTAATGCATCAACTTACCCTGTGTGAGTTTTTTTCCCATTCTATTCTGTAAATTTTATGACTAAAAACTTTGGGACATTCTTTGAGCCCTTTTTTGAGAATAATTTGAGCCAGAGGTTGTTAGGGTTGAAAGACACTCATAACTGGAATGTTTAGTTATTTATTAACTTCCCTGGCCCATGAGAAATAGCTAGGATATACTAACAAGACATTTCTTTCCAGAAAAAATAAGAAAGATACTTAAAATTGTAATGCGTACTTGACACTAGGCATGGGGAGTTTATCTTTTAATTTGATCCAATTTTAATGGCAAAAGTCTTAAACTGGTTTTGCCTCTGTTTCAGTAAATATGAACTATGTGGTGTTCTAGTTGCTGAGGAAACATGTTGCAAATGTCCTACCCCTGCTGCATTATAAATGATGGCACAGTAGCCATCAGAATAAAAGGAACGAAAGGAATGGAAAGCCAGAAGTCAAAGTGAAATAACTGCAGCATGTAGGTACCTAGCATTAAACTGCTGAGAAATGTTACAGCTATTTAAACCACCATTTCTAGGATTTTCTTTCCACATCTAGAAAACATCTGTGGAGTACATAGTCTTTCCTTGAATCTGGGAGAAGTGTAATAGAAACCCATATGAAAAGTTAGGGTTTCACTTTGCAGCTTTGACTATTGTATTGAATCAACGAACACCAAGCCCCATTCAATTCTAATTAATTGAGTTTATAAATGTCTGTTTTATGAACTTGAAATCACAGAATCAACTACTTTGGAAAAGACCTCTGAGATCATCGAGTTCAACCTATGACCTAACACCACCTTATCAACTAGACCAAGGCACTAAGTGCCATATCCAGTCTTATCTTAAACACCTCCAGGGACTAAATGTGTGATTATTTCATGTTAACTCTATGAACCATAAGTTATGGAATTGGAATAAATAATTTTATTATTACCGTTTATTATGTGTGTATATTTTTTTTTACAGAACATTTCACAGGGTTTGACTTCTGATACTAGCTGTTTGTTTACCTTGAGGGAAGTATTAACAGCAAAAAATGGCATCTGGAATGAATTTATGCTTCTTGAGTAACCCCTATGCTTCAGTTGAGTGACTTTTACCCTGAAGTAGGATAAAAGATTTGAACTGGTTTTAGCTTTATGAAGAGATACGGTATAAACCAAAAAATATTTGTTAAATGTTTTGGGTAACTGCAGTGTCATGTTTGTGTCCCCAGAAACTAATATTCAATGAAACATATGATGTCAGTCCAATACTTTTCCATATCTTGAGAGTGACTGGACCTCCAACCATCTATTTTTCTCTAATAAAGAAAAGAAAAATAACTTCTTACTGTATTTGTTCTAGACTACAGTGAAACAGCAACCTATGTTCTGTCATCTACCTGAAAAAAAATTGCACTTGGTTTTGGATTAAAATAAGGTTTTAAAGAGCATAAAAAAGACATGTAATTTCATAGGAACACAAACGTTTAATCAAGTGGAATAGGTAAAAAATATTGAGCATGCATGGCAGCCAAGTCAGATATACTTTGAAGATGAAAACTAGAAACTTAACTTTCTTCTTCACTATGTCTGTAACAAAGTAACAGTTGATACCACATTGTATTATTGCCTAAATGTTATAAAACATTCTAGACATCAAGAGAAGGGATGCATCTGATTTCAATAAAAAATTTCAGAAGAAACAAGATTTGAGTCCAGTGTGGATGTTGGTCTACCTGGTGGTGTAGTTCGCTGTACAGAGGTAATGAAATACTTGACCCTCTGAAATACAAGGAAATTTATTCAGTTCACTCTAAGAACTGCAGGAAGTAGGATAACTGTATAGACAAACACATTGGTTTGCAGTTAACAATGCAGCACTTTTAAAGAAATCAATTTTGATGCAGTTATATGTTATTTTCTTCAGGGGACAGTTCTCTGATCTCAGGCTTAGGTGGTAAAGCTTTACTGTGTCCTCTTGCTTAAACTCTCTCATCACAGCACAGGCTTTGTTCTTCTGTACTGCCTAGTGGGGTTGCTGTCTATACCTCCTAATTCCCATCTGCAAAAAAAGGCATATTCTACTCATTAACTCCAGAGAAATATTAATAATCTACAGTAAAAAAAAAAATCAAAACAGAAAGGGAGAGAGATTTAATATGACTGATATTTACTTATTTTATTTAAATATGAGTGAGCTTTATCTTTGAAGAAATTATATTTTGATTAAAAAAAAAAGATATGTGTAGGCAAAGAGCCGAAGTAGTCTATGACAAAAGGAAAAGACTAATCCTGTCTAATAGATAACCTGACAGGACACATATGATAATATTATTCCATCTAACTTAAAATCATAATTGCATTTTAAGATTAATGGGAAGTATTAATATTTAGCAGTACATACTCCCATCTTATCCTCACTAGAGATTAATGCACATTCAAAGAATGAACAAAATCTGCAATTGGAAATCATTTGTCATTTAGAAAGTGTCGTTGATCAACACCCAGCTATTCAGTAGTATACTATTTGATTTCTATTGGAAATTATTTAATTTTTATGCTTAGTAAGAATCCACAGAAAGATCCTTCAGCCCTTATTCATACACACACCCTATGATCATAAACCAGATAAGGGTTGCCCACTTCTGAGATCCTTTAGCAAGAAAACTCACACAAGCATGTTTAATAGTGGTGAGAAAACAGTTTATGCTTGGTCACCTTGAAAAGTTTTATCTAAAAGTGCACCTGTCCAACATTTCTCTACTGAATAGAGAATCCCTAGATTGTTAATCTGAGTTGCTGGTTTATCTCCTTTGATTTTTTTAGGGACCTGATTTGATCGTGATTTCAGATACACTAGGTGCCTAAAGTGAGGTGGAAAGGTTTCCGAATTAGGAAACACTACAGCTAAAATAAATGGAAATATGTTAATGTCACTACTGTTTTTCCAGTCTTTCTGGGAGGATGACAAAGGATAGGATTATTCTAAAAGTGAGGAAAATTTCTGTCCCAGTCCTCAAGGAAGGGAGCTGGAATATTCATGCAGATTTTTCATCTTCACATGACTCGTGAATTGATGGGAAATTATACACTACCTCACTGCATCATCACAAAAGCATATTTATCATGATATTGTTTGAATGAAAAATTCAACATTTATTTATCTGTTATTAAGCTTTATAAAAAACCCCAAACAACCCCAAAACCAAAATTAAATCAAGGAGATAAAATAAACCTATGAGAAACAAGTAGTGTAATTAGATGTACTGTTTAAGGAGATGTCATATTCACTGAAGCAATAAAATTATGTTGCTTGAAGAGAATATAAATATTTTCACATTATTCTGCCATTACTTTAGCTATTTTTGACATTCTGAAGGTCTCAGACAAAGAAGCACAGTAGCCCTTTTGAGATCTTGTGTCACAGAGGAGTCTTCACAGCTGTACACCAGTAGGGGATGCTAAAAGAAAATATAAGAATAGTCATCTTGTCCCATGAGTGTATACCTGAATTCTCAGTGGATTCCTTCATATTTCATATCTGAGTCTTTCAACTCTACAGTCAGAAGGCTGAAAAAAGGAATATTAGTAGAAGAAAAATCACAGAATAATCATTACAATGTAGAAACATTAATCAATATACAATAAAACTTTGTAATGAAAGAAGAAGACTATTGGTATGCACGTGAAAAATTTTAGGACTATTGCACATGACAAATAAGAGTCAGGGCAATAAATAATCAGCCAATATATATCACTACAGGATAAAAGGCCTTTTTTTTCTTTAATGAAGTATCTTGGTTTGCATTTATGAGTTTAAAACATCACAAGTGTCTATTAATTCATTGACATTTCTGCCTGAGTTTGGCAATTGGTTATAGATTTACCTATGATTTATGATTTATCATTTATGGCATATAACTTTTAATACATTTTTCTAATTTAAGTTATATTTCTATGCTGTATGGTGATTAAAACAATTACCCTTATTAAATAATATATTGGATTGAAATGTCATTTTGCTTTATGAATTCACATTGACTTGCTTGTTGTTTTTAACCTATTTTTTCTTTGCAACATTTGCATTCTGTGGTGCAGTTGCATTAAACTAACTGAGCTAGGCAGGCATTCAACCAAAGGACTTCAGTTATATGATATTCAAAACTGTGAAATGTAACTGCTCAATTCCAGCAGCAGAAATTACAATGCAGATGATTGAATTCGCATAAACTGTGATTCCCACAAACCTCCTTGAATACTGGAGTACTCAAGATGGAAAACAGAAAATAAGAAAGAGACAGACTCAAGCGGGTTGCCTAAACTGAATTGTTATGGTCTGGGTCTCCCAGCACAAGAAAGACATAGACCCATTGGAACAAATTCAGAACAGGTCACAAAGAGGATCAGAGGGCTGGAACGCCTGTCCTATGAAGTCAAGCTGAGAGAGTTGGGTCTGTTCAGAAGAGGCGAAGGCTCCAGGGAAACCTTATAGCAGCCTTCCAGTACTTAAAGGGAACCTACAAGAGAGCTGGGGAGGAACCTTTCACAAGGGCATGTAGTGACAGGACAGGGAGGAATAAATAGCAAATTACAGATCCCTGTACTTTCCATTATCTCATAAGACTAATTGTCTCAGCTAATATCTACATATTTAAAAGTTAAGAGAGCTGGAGAGAAGATACAACTGCAAAGAGGAGACAGCTTCAGGAAAGAATTTGCAAATTAAGAAAATGGACTGGGGTCCATACATATATATATTGCACAGCTATGTTCACTGTGGCTCAATTTGTTCAGCAGACAGCTTTTTTTAGCACCAACTGACACTTTTTATGGCTTGCAACTTAGTTTTCAGTGCTGTGCTAATCAAACCTTGGTGTCATAAATACCTTGCAAAGTGTGACAAATCTGACTTTGATAGAATAGGGTACTGTTCACCTTGACACTTCCTCTGCCTCATATATATGTGCTTGATACTGCCTTAAATTTAGCAGGGGAATCTGAAAATTACAGAGGAGCTGAAACAGGTGAAACTAATGTGGTCATACAAAGGATGCCAAAAATATTTTTATTTTTTATGTAGGAAATACAATACATTTTCAAAAGTTTCTAAAAATATTCTCAGTTATTAGCAATTATTATCTCTTATGCAGCTTAACAGACTACATTAAATGATTATTTCCACTGTTGAAATTATATTTCTTGAAGATATATGTTGATTACTTTGTATCTGCAGATTATTCTTTTAAAATTATCCATTGCACAAATTATTTTCAGCTGTGCTGCATTGCAGCATCACTTCAGCAAAATATCAATTTATAAAAAAATATCTGCCAGTAGAGGAGAAAGAAATCTCCCGTCTTTAGGATTTCTGCTAGCTTTTATTATGTTTAATTTGCTTCATTATTCTCATACTTTTCTTTCTGATTTCTTAGAAATTGATGAAGAAGAATACACAGAATACTTAAGTAATAAAAGTGCAGATCTATTCTTCTATACAAATTAGCTGCTGAAAAAGTTAAATAAATTGCAGGCTCAGTGCATAATTCCCATCTTATTAATGCTGTCTAAATCCCAGTTTCCAAACATACCCTCCATCAAAACACATCTCCTTCATTTCACCTCTATCTGCTTCTGTCAGTCCACACATTTCCTCCAATTAAGAATTCAAAAAACAACCTTTCAAAGAGCTTTTCTCTGGACGGAAGCATACTGAAAATGTTGGAGTAGGAAATAAATAAATAAGTGAAGATGTATTTTATCTCATTTGCATCGCAGAAAAGTCTTTTACCTGGGAAAAATATACTATCAAAGTGTAAAATGTATTCAAGCAATTAGGCTATTCAGGTGAAAAAGATGAACAGGTTCTGGAAATGTCTTTTGATGAAAAGAATTTATACTAACCTTCACTGATTCCCTTTTGAGATGCATTTAATTTCATTCTCCCTTTACATGTCAATGTATCTACTCCAACACAAGCACAATGGCATTCCTGCAGATATCTGTTCTGTAAAGCCTCCAGTGTTAGACTCCACAGACTTGCTACAGACTTCTTTAATGTCTTCTGGTCACCAGAAAACTTTATTAATAATTTGTTACATTATTTCTTATGTAGTTCACCATGTGTGCAGGGTGCATGTCATTGTTTTTGCAGGAAGCTTGTATGGATTTGAAAAGGATTCTCATGCCAGAGTCACAGGCATATGCACACACCCCTTTTCATCATCTTCAAACTAAACAATTCTCAGAGTACCTTCTCTCATACCTGTTTTGCAAGATAGAGAAACATGGCAAATATAAGCCATGCGCAGCTGCAGGGGATTGTCTGGGGCCACCAGACATTTGAAATTATTAAGTACGGATAGAATTATTATTTTTTTCCATTAGTGGACTACAGAACCAACGGTATTTTGGAGGAGGTAGTTTGGATTCGAGATGACACTGGAAACTAAGAGCATGGCTACATAGGAGGTGCTACTTTTAGACCAGAACACTCAACTGCTTAAAGGTAGATAGGAGAATAGCTGACTAGTGACAGTTCTGACAGGAAAAGTCTGAGGATTAACACATGGGAATGATATTAACACATTTCACAGGAAGAAAACATTACTTCAGAGGATCAAACATCAGTAAAAATAAAAAAGCAAGTAAAGATATCCTTGTGCTTTGCTTGCCTGAAACATGTGATCTTCCATATTATAGTATTTGGTTACAGACAATGCATTTATAAGAAGAGATGTGTCAGTTAGAATACCCATAGATTGATGCAACACAAGCTTACACAATATGCAATGTCATACAATACAAAATGAATAAATATTAATTACAATCTGCCATGGAATTCATTACATTTCTTTTTGTTGTTTTAGCTTCAGTTGTTAATTTTTTTATTTTTTTTTTTTTACTAAAACTTATTAATTCTGCAAAGCTATATTTTTGGATGACTGCATACCTGTACCGATCACTGAAATGATGGGGAGAAAGGCAGTGGAAGAAAAACTGGTCCATCTCCCCTTCCTTCTAGCACCGGACCAATGTCGCATCTGAATTTGATAACTTCTCATTTGAGTTGAATAACTTTGCCAAGAGAGAATATTGTCCAGCCTTTATCTTTTGTCTTGGAGCTGTTCTGCTTTGTAGTAAGAAATTATTGATTCAGATGGTGAGAAACAATGGCATTACAGACACAGAGGCTAGGGCACATTGATGGGAAACGAAATTTTCTTGTCAAGTCCCTGCTTCAGTGAATATTCAAAATTCATGAGAAAAAAAGTTCAAAGAGCAGCAACTCCAACTCAAATAGCTTAATTAGGATAGTCTTCTTGTAAGCACAAGGGACATCAAGCAGGTGTTCTCATCTCTTAGGGGAATATCCAGTCAGTAGTTTATTGTTTAATTCGGAGGTAGTAATTTCTGAAATAATTTACCTTTTTTTTATATTACAAGGGAATGGTCAGTATATTTTATTACTGAATGGGGTAAAATATTGTCTTCTGGGTCCTTTCAGAAGGGAAGGCTTCATGGATCCACAGTTGCTTAGTTCCATGATACTATGCTTTGTACTAAAAGGAAACTGTGTTCTTGGTACTGACTGTTGGACGGCTTGCATAGCTCTTCACTCATTCTGCAGGTACCTATTAATATGTCCTATTATCCCATGTAAATTTTTATGAGTATAGTCACTCAGTTCTTGAGTCTATCCTTAAGTGCTCTTCAAGCAGAGTGTAAAACTCTAGGAAAATCCTCTCTTCCATAATTGAATCCCTTTCACGGGAGGATTCCTCAAATATTTAAAGATCTTGTGATGCACATGCTTAAGACTGATGCTATAAGTCTTAGCAAACTTCTCCCTATATGTCTTAAGGTCAATTAGGATCTTCACAGTAGTGCTGGCAAAGTAGTCATAGAAGGTCACAACTTATATAATAATGGGGACTATTTTTCCACAAAATGTATTGGAAATATCTACTTCTGTTCAAAATAAAAATAAACAAAGTAAAATAAAAATATACAATTGGTCTTTATGTAACTCTTTAATTGCAATACTCATAAGGGAAAGAAAAGACCTAAGTCCTTCACTTTCTTGACTCTGAAAAGCTTTAAAAAATTCCTTGTAAGAGTTTATCATAATTATCAGACTAGGAAAAAAATTTCACTTGTGAAAAAAAGTGATAAAGTTGTGTAGAATGCAGTAAAAAAAGCCAAGAAAATAGGGAAGAAACAGAAAAAGAGAAAAAGAATGAGTGTGAGTCTGTAAGCTAGTCCTACACATAATATTCTAGAAGAGAGAGACCCAAGCAGCATTTCAAAGCTGTTCATGCACTTTATTCAGTAGCTGGTCAATGTAGAATACAATCCTTCAGCACAACTTCTCCCAACAAGAAAAACTCCATCAGACCAACATCATTCCTGTCCAAAGCCATATTTTAAATATGGTTTTCTTGAAAATCTATTTGCATAAAAGCTGCAAGGTATTTCAGGGATTCTTTACATTCTCATTTCTCCATGTGGTTTTAAAGGATGAATATATTATATATATGTATTTATCATGAATATATACATATTGCTTATATACATACGCAACAAAGCATATGATTTATAAGATAGAGTAAAATGGATAATTTGGGAATTAAGCTCTTGTTAACATTAAGCTTGATGTTCACTCCCTGTAAAGTTTCTAAAAAAAAAAATTATGGAACTGACCCACAATTCTACCACTGCAAGTTTTCTACACTACATTAACTACTCCTTTTAGAAGGAACATCCCTCCTAACACATTCAAACCCATGTTTTCACTAACTCTCCATTTTATGTGTGTTGATACTATTCCAGAAGTAATATTGCAGTAGAGTTTAATATATATATTTGGAAAAATTTTATAAAGTGTATTATTAGAACCATGAAAGACTATGAATCATACAGAATGATATTGAAGACCAAATAATATTCCAATTAAAGTAAAAGAATCTAAAAGTATAGGCAATGTAGTTTAGAAAACAAAACCGTGCTTTGACAAATACATGCCCACAATTTGGTTTTAGGCTTATTTCATTGCAGAATGGAAATATCTTTTTAATAAACTTGTCACATTGCAAATACATGCAACATTCCAGTAGAAAAAAGGATAAGCAGAAGAAATTAGTTGGAACATGTAGAACAAAGAATTACACTTAAAATATTTATAGCATTAGTTTTGATATTCTCTTTGAAAGGTTTATTTGCTTAAATTAATTAAAGTTTTACTGGAGCTTTCAAAAGCATAGTTGCAATCTGAAATCTTAAACATCAAATTTTCCATGTAATAGAGTTGACTGCCTATGGTTTAAATTATTT